AAATTTTTAATCAAAATTTGATGTATTAACTATTATCAATAGAATTAATTTAGAGAATTAATATCAATTATACTATGAAATAATGGACAAGGAAGAAAATTTTTTAGCGAAAGCTCAAATTAATTTTTTTAAATATCTCATCAATTTCTTTCAACTATCTTCATAATTAGCAAATAAAAAAAATTGAATTTATTATTAAGAAAAATATTAAATATTAAATAATAAAAAATTCAATTTTTATAATATCTACTCGTTCAACTCTTATTTTCTTAATAAATAATATTATTACGTTCCATAGAATTTCAGGCCTTCGTAAATCCGCCAATGCTATGGAACGTACGGTAGCATTATTATTCAGTGTGGCCCGTTCAAACTTGGAAGGGTCATTAAAGACCCGGTCTATGTACCTGCTCGTGGGCTCGTGCCATAGTCAGGCCTAAAAGACCAGTTGTGATTGCTATACATCTGAACCGAACAACGAGCAGCATTTTACACCAACCACTCCGTAGACCCGCGCACCACCTTGCACACAGTCGAGAACGGAGGTCGGCAGCGGCGCGACCACGCCGCTTCCTTCTGATTTTGTTAGTCTACTGGAGGAAGAAAATTAAAAAACCTTTTGTGAGGATATTCTAACACGTTTTCAAATTAAATATAGCTATTTTATTTTTATTTAAAGATAATTAAATTATTAAATAATTTAAGTAATTAAAAAAATACATAGAGTTAATTTAATAAATAATATAATTAATGTTGTGTCCAAAAACTTTCGTGGTGGTAGAAAAGTATAGAATTTAGCATTTTAGTTTTGTGCGATGATCCAACACAGATAAATAAAAGATGGAGGGGTGCAGTAATCATAAATGACATCAGAATGTTTATGTGAAAATAATTAAATAGGTCAAAAATTACGATTGTTGATTACAAATGATGTCCTTCGTCTGGAAGATGTGGGCTAAATGTAGGAATTATATATTCTATATAGCACATACATATTTGGAGTTGATAGAATTTAATGATTGAAGAGTTGTTCTCAAAAAATTATAATGTCCCGTCATTTGGTTGGTAGGGCTGTATTTGGGTGATAAAGGTTGAAGGGATTGTAGACGGCGAGTGATAAAGGTCAGAAGGACCGTAGTAAGCAGACGATAGTCAGTGGTCAAGAAGAAATTTGACGGTGGTAACGCTGGCTGGAAAAGTCAAGAACCCTTTAATTTTCCCTCACCTCCTCCTCCTCCCATGTGAAAAATGAGAGTCCATTATAATTTTTTGAAGGTGACATACTCAATAAATATGAAAAAGATTCAGAATAATTTGGATTAATCAATCAGACGACCCATATTAATTCCCTCAATTATGAAATATTTATTGAGCATTTAAGTGTCTTAACGATGCTAAAATTAAGTGATGTTAAGCTCATTAATTGGATTCTTCTCGACGTATTTGTATATCATTTGATTATCCAATTATTGTTATGAAGTTTTCAAATATGTTTTTGTCCTTCCATTTGAGCTCGTTTGCGCTCAAATTGGACCGAATATAGTGTCGTTGGGTCGTCTCCTTTAGATAGCTCAATTTGACTATAATTTTGCTGAAATCATAGTCTGGATGATCCCGAAATTAATTTTGAAAGTTTTCAATTTATATCTGCATCAATATTCGTGCCTAGTCAAGGCAATTTTTGGCAATGTATAAAATAAATTATTAGATATTTATAAGTATAATCATGATAAAAAGATAGATATTTGAAAAAGGTGTAATATTTATGAGGTTAGGGGTGTCAACATGGGTTTTCGGGTTGGGTTCAAGTCTAACCGAAAAAAGACCCATCATTATTTGACCCGACCAGACTCTAGAAATGTGTTAGAAATCTGAACCCAGACCCGACCCTTTGCAAACCTGGGTTGATCTGACCCTAGTTCAGAGCAAGAGAGTGAGGGCATTCTGCAAGGCGCAGGGTCGAGTGCAAGTGCGCAAGAATGCAAGGCTGGCAATGTGCGGGCAAGCCTTGAGGTCGAGCGCGTGGGGGAAAGGGTGAGGTTGGCAATGAACGTGCAAGCCTTGGGGTCGAGTGTGACGATGTAGGCGAGAATGTTGAATGCAAGACGTGGGAGCAGGAGGAATGTGGAACGGCGGTGTGGGTTGGGAGGGGTTGTGGGATCCAAGTCATTTTTTGGTCACATTCGGGTTTTTGGGTCAACTTGAACAGACTCATTTGTTAAATGGGTTGAGCCGAACAAGAAATTTTTCGGATCAAATCCCGGTGAGTTTGAATCAAGTCAAATATTAACACTTCTATATGAGGTAAAAATATTTATAATTAATTTATGAGAATTTGTAATAACACTATCATATATTTATAAGTACAAATTATTCATAATTAATTGACCATTTTTTTAGTTTTAATTTAGACTTTAAAATTGACCGTTTATCAGTCTTAATTAAGTTTTTAAAACTGAAATTTTTAAAATATTTCAGATTCAGATTAAATATTTTTGCAGGTTTATTTTTGCGAATTATTATATTTTTTTACATAAAAAAGTAAAATAAACAAATAAATTTTATATTTTACCGTGCATTTAATTTGTAAATAAAAAAGTCAATAATGCGCACTTAAATCACCCAAATATTTAATAAGAACATTGGAAACTCCCACTTATATTTCCAAGATCAAATTTATATCATTTTTCTCAAAAAAAGATCAAAGATCACAAAGCAATTCTATTGGGAATAAAATTTTTTAATACAGTCTGCTCTTACTAATGGTTCAAAAAAAAAATTTGGTCAAAGGATTCAAAGTTTCAGTGACAATATTTTCTTCAAAGCTTTAACTGCAGCTTCATAAATTTGAATTTTTCCTCTCTGATTCACACTGATTTTTTTGACAAATCATAAAGAATTTTCTTCTAAAAGATGGTCTAAGAAGCATTAGCTACTTTTTAATGTAGAATAGTTAAGTAGTAAAATGATATTTTATTTGATAAGAAAGTATTATTATCTGCCATGTTGTACCAATTGTCATATTTTATTTGATAATAAAGTTTCTATCAAATTAAAAATTCAACACATATTAACTAAATACATCAAAAACGGTCCTATTTGTGTTGAAACTCCTGCTGGATGTATTGCCAGTCCAATGCATTCAAAAACTCATTTACCTTTTTTATATGCTAAAACGTTCAAATTCTCATATGATTCTATGAGGAACTCATGTAGATTGATTCGAACTAATTTTGGTAAGTGGTGCGCTTCTTGCTTGATCTTTTGGAGTGTGGCATGCACTCTTGGTGCAAAATGACCTGTGACTTCAACTTCACTATCGTTTCTGGCCTTCACAAGTGTAATGTCACTGCGTTAAATGACTCCGACGCATTAGTTGTCATAACTCTATAATAAAATCCACAATCATGCGTTAAAGCGCATCGCCTGACATCACACTTTACTATCCAGTGGTGAATATCAGCAATCACATTTATCATATTATCATGCCGCTATCCAACACCGTTGGATCGTCAGTGCTTCCGTCTGTGTACATCTTCTGGCACTGAAACTCTATGTCAGCAACACCCATTTATCGCACTGCTTTCTTAAAGTTCTCACGTATGTGACGCAGACAGTGGTGAATTTATTCACATTTCTATAATAAAGACTTATTTTTCTCAAAGTGAAATATTATAAAACATGCATTGGCTTAAATGTGAACCTCAAAAGGTGTTTTTTGCTTGAAAGTGCGAAGCAGAAATAAAGTGTGTGCTTCAATTCTGTGAAGCAGGCATGTGAAGACTATTGAACCCCTTAGACTTTAATCTAAGAAATTATTATAAATTAAAAGGATATTAAAAAATCCTCTATAGCACCAATTTTTTTTTTAATATTTATGCAAATTAAATTATATATAAACTATAATCTATAATTCTGATACAATAAATCAGTCTAAAATTTCAATTCATATAAAACTTAAAAAAAAAAAATCTTTTAAGCTATAATTCTGACCGCTTTCTAATTGTTTTATTTTTTAGGCCACCAAATTAGAGATATATGAATCAGCGGCTAAGACTTAGGCTTCTTTTGGAATGACTTTTTATTGCTTTTTGAAGCAGTTTCTTAATATAAAAATTATAAATTTTGTACTATAAAGCTGCTTCAAGAAGCTATTAAAAAGCCGTCACAAATGAAGACTTAGGTTTCGTTTGGGACGGCTTTTTTATTGCTTTTTAAAATGGATTTCTAGTTCAAAATTTTAAATTTTTGTACTAGAACTCCGTTTTAAAAAGCACTAAAAAAGCCGTCCCAAACAAAGCTTTAGGCTTCATTTTGGACAACTTTTTTATTGTTTCATAAAACAACTTTTTAGTAAAAATTTTAATTTTTATACTAAAAAGCTATTTTAAGAATCAATAAGAAAGTCATCCCAAATGAAACCTTAGATTTGCAGATCTGTAGAAGAAAAAATCATCAATGCCAAGAGGCATCATGCATCTATTGCCCAATTATGATACCATAAATATCAAGTCATGAGTCAAGAGAGAGTTGATAGTTCATGCCATCATATATGAAATTTGCAGGCCTATAGAAGGACCTAAGATACCTTCTTTTGCCTTTGTTGTTTCTTTTAGTTACCCGTAAGTCTAACCTTATTGTAAGGAATAGATGTTTAAAAAACAGCTTCACAAATAGAACCAACAAATATTTCAGATGTACTTGTAATATGATTTAGGCTTTTTTTGGGATAGTTTTTTTTACTGCTTCTTAAGCAGCTTTCTAGTACAAAAATTTTAAATTTTCTAATAGAAAGCTAATTTAAGAAGCAGTAAAAAAGTCATCCCAAACGAAGCCTTAGGCTTCATTTGGGACAGCTTTCTTATCATTTTTTTAGCTTTCTTACTACTTCTTAAAACAGCTTTTTATTATACTAAAAAGCAACTTTAAGAAGCAGTATGAAAACTGTCCAAATTAAGCCTTAGTTTATAAGGCTGAAACTCTAAATGTCAGCTTCGATTCTATATGAATCACACAAGACCTATGAATAACACGCAATGTCAGCAATGTTCTAAGCCCTCCATCTGCAATTAGAATTGAACAGGTAAAAAAAAAGCTCAAATATTATAGTTAACCCCTAAAGCTGCTTGATAGAGTCATCCAGAAACATCAAGAATACAGAAAATTGAAAAGAAGCAAGCAATGTAGGTTAATCGAACTAGTAACAGAGCGAGATAACTTGTGAATGGGCTCACGAGTTAAACACATGGAACAATAAATGAGCTCACGTTGAGCACAACTGCTTGCTAAATGAAAAGAAGCATCTTTCTTGAATCAGTAAATTTGGAAGAAAAAAAAAAACAATTAAATAAATAACCAAAGAAAAGATATTGCAGATATATGTCTATTCTATAACGGTCATAAATACATGTATTAAAAATATGATGTTGAACCAACTTAAATTTTAGCATAATTGCTTGTCAATAACTTATCAAGTGTTACATAGATGAGGAAGCTCAAATGAATGAGTGACTTTACGCTTAAGCCTCGTTTGAGATGGCTTTCTTACTGATTCTTAAAACAATTTTTTAAAATCAGTAAGAAAGTTGTCCCAAACAAAGCCTTAAAGACAAAATAAGAAATGAGAACGATAGAGGTATATAAAACTGCTGGAATTATAGGTAAAAACATGCGAACTACAAAGTGCGTTTCTTCCTATTACAGTATGCTTCCAATCGTCTAAAACCTGTGATTTACAGACCCATACCGCAATTCCAAATAGTCTCAAATTCATAAAGAATAATTTTTTTTAAGGGATTATATAACTTTGAAAAACAAGAAAAGAATCGACCTGCACATTTTAAATGCATCGAAATAACTGAAAGAAACAAGTTTCAGAATTTGAAATCCTCCTCGGCAAGCTTTCATCATTTCAAAGCATAGATCCCATGTCTCCATCTATGTGATCTTCTGTATGAATTCTGTGGCAGAAAGCTGAGCCCAAACATCTCCTTCAGAACCTGGCCTGATTCCAGTAGTCCAATAAGCTTTGCAACTGTTAATGCACTCTCCCTAATATGTTCCAGATCTCCGGTGTCGGTCCAGAGGAGTCGAGCCAGCTGAACTCTCCTCTGCTTAGAGTTCAGTGAGATTCCCCATTTCACATAGAGACTCAGCCGTTCTTCGGTTGTCAATTTCTTCTGCATTTGCCGGCAGAACATCTCTCGCTCTCGTTGTAGAGTCCTCATGCTGTTAACAATCAGTGGTTGCTAAGAAACAACAATGCATGAACTTTAACAGACATATAAGCAGTTTCATACCTTGATTCTAGAGTCACCTGCCGACCGGTCTCGCCGGATATTCTGTAAGAGTTTCCCTGCGAGAATGTTCTTTTCAGGAAAGCTAGTCTCCTGAGCTCAACTTCCATGTAAATGGAATCAGCAGGATCGCCTTTGAAGAGCAGGTAAAAGTATGTTCTGTGGATTAAGGAAACGTTGCATTCATGCCAGAGTTTGATTATCTCTTGTTGCTTCTTTTCAAAGTCCCGTGGCCAATGGGATGGAGAATCCACGGGGTCTAGGATAGTATCAAGGCCAACACTCTTCCTTGTTCCTTCAGCTCCACACACTTCACTGGCAGTCTGATCAGAGAAAATTGGAATCAGCAATAAAAAAGATACAAAAGGATAAGGACATAAAAATAGGGAGCATTGGAAACTTATAAAGAAATGGGTTTTATCACACCTGACCATCAACAAGCTGATTTTGATGAACCTGAACCATCTCTTTCAATCCTGAAACAAAGTCCTGAATGGTGGTTATGCCTTCTCTAGAAGAAGACATATCATCTTGCTCTTTAAGCAAGCTTTCAGAAACACTATCCTCTAACATAACAGATCTCTCTCTTGAAAAGTTTCCATTTTCAGCATTATAATTCAGAAATGCCCGAGGCCTGCCAGGGAAATCTCTCAGTGAGCTGGGAGGGGGTGTACAGTCGTACTGCTCTGGTTCTGCAAACCCAGGGGAGTAGCTTGTCAAAAATGCTGCCCGACAACTTCTGCTTCTCCTTGGTAACATAGCCCGAGAACTATGTAAATCTCGAGCTGATGACCATGGTGAAGATTCATCAGGATGTGATGCCCGTACGCTATGTAGATGGTGTTCTAACGTCAAAAATGTAGAACCTGCGATGCCAGATCTCGAGTCCATTTGCGCTGCAGGCTTAGGCTCATATTCTCCATTCCTGGTGGCATTAGAAGTCTGGGTTTGCTGGGTTTCGCTTGCTCCGAATGACAAATTCAAGTTTTCTCTGTGGCTGGTTCCATCCATTTCAATACACCTAACTTCCTTGCAAAGTTCTTCTGAATCTTCAGAGGCACTTTTATCAGTGTCTTCTTCAGCATGAATGGGATTCCATCTGAGCGATCTATGTTTAGTTTGTGAGAGTTTTGGGGGAAGATCCCCATTTTCTGTATCTTGTGAAAAACCATGGTGATTTCTGCTGTAGTTTTTGCTCTCATATTTACTTAACTTGACAAACCCAGCTTTTGAACCATTGCAAGTAACTTCTGGTGGCTCGGACATTGAAATTTTATCATCATGAACTTTGGATTCATGAAATATTGATGCTTGGTTAGGAGATTCCTCCTGTTATAGAACAGGTAAATATGAATATTAAAGAACTATAAATGATAGCTATGCATGTAGATATTGACTGAGGATCTCAACAAGAATAGGTACCCGTTTTCTTGAAAAATGACCATCCCCAACCACCTGTAAAAGATCCTCCAGTCGAGATTGAGCTAAGTCGCGCTGTTGAATCAGCTCCTTAATTTCTTTCTCCATCTGCATGAAACAAGTTGTAGCAATCAAATAAAACATAAAATTTAGGTTGAATGAGTAATAATCAATGCTCGTCTGTGTTGGGAGATTGGTGAAAACTAAGCAAACACATGGAGCAAGAATTCTATCATGTTTACTCATTTTTCATCTACATCAGATTGTTGCTGTTGTTGGAGATTTCACTATTGAATGCGAGGAATGATAACCCTAATTTTTTAGATACATAAGACCCTCTCTCTCTCTCTCTCTCTCTCTCTCTCTCTCTCTCTCTCTCTCTCTCTCTCAAGAGAAAACTAAGGAAATCCGAAAAAAATTATAAATTCCTAAAATGCTCTTCATGAAATAGCTACAAATATTAAATTTCTTCAAACAATAACTAGCTCAATGCTACTTCCAAATATATTTTCTTCAAAATGCAAAAATTAGACTCCACAAATTAACTATCCAAAGTGAAAAAAAAAAAAAAATCTAATAATGAAAGTACATAAATCCATGCTTGTTCAAAGTTGAAATTGTACCTAACTATGCACATTTCACTACACAGTAGACCTCTTGAAACAAACTACAAGATCCATCATAATAATTGAAGTTCTATGGGAGATGTGTGATATAAAACAAGCTTAGGTGCATAAATCATTGAAAATATAATAAAGAGAGAGAGAAAAAGCCCAAAATAGTAGAAGGGTGTGAAACTCTAGAATTATATTGGGGAACTTACTAATTATTGCAAAACTATTTTGAATTTTTTCTCTCAAAAAGATTAAAAAACTTCCTAACCTTTCTGATTCGAGCATCTTTCTCCCTCAATAGTGCTTCAATGTGACCGTTGTTTGAGGCTGATACTGGACACCTCAACTCATTCTCCAATCTGGCCAACTCCTTCTGCAAATGCTTAACCAGTGCCTTGTCAGACATGACAACATTCACCTGAGCACTGGTGACCACTTCTTTTGCACAGCTTGCAAAGAGAAGTGTGTTTCTCGACTGCTCAATATGACTTCGTGCAGGACATATTGTGCAAATAATGGCAGTTCTTGCATTGCCTCCTAAACATGGTTGTAGTATGCGAGTCAACTTAGATTCTCGATATGGAATATGACCATTTCTTCCTTTACTGTATCAATAAGTGAAAACATAAATAAGAAACCATAAACAGAAATCTCAATCTAGCAGGTAACTAATCTGAACGGTTGAATTGAAAATACATCCCAGTTTGACAAGCTTAATGATGTAGAACTATGAATTCTTAAAATGATTGATAAAAGAATTTGCACGCTTTCAAATAAAAGCAATAAGAATTAAACTTTAGCCACTTAACAAAAATGAAAAACAAGAAAGGGATGACTATGGTTTCGTTTGGGATGGCTTTCTTAATGCTTCTTAAAGCAGTTTTCTAGTACTAAAAAGTTGTTGCTTTAAAAAGCAATAAAAAAAGCCATCTCAAACTAAGCCTATATTAAACAAGTCGATGAAATGCTATTGAATCCTGTGTTTCCACTCCAATTGATATCATAGTTTAAAAAAACCATGACTTTTTTTGTAGTCATTTCAAAAAGAAAGATCAAGATTATAGGAACCCTTCAGAATGTTCATCATAAGATTTTAAATAGGGAGATGAACAAAACTAATAATGCTAGTAAGAATGTTTAGCACCAAATTCTGTAAAATATGCATGACATATGAAACACTAACGAAAATATATGTGCAATAGTTCTAGAAAAAAAGCACACTTTTTAAGCTTCAATCGGACAAATCCTCTACAAAACGTTCTTGCAAGTTAACTAAGCCCTCCATTTCTCTTTCATTTCCCTTCAAAATTAACTAGGCCCTTCAACTCCCAACGATTCAATATACTACTTGTTCTACAAAAAGTTCTGCTAGGTCCTCCATGCTCTTCATCTCTCAGAAGCACCTCACCGCCATTATTCGGCATATCATATACAAGTAAAATTGAATAAACCATCAGATTTCAAAGCACAATCTATAACTAAAGACCAAATCAATGATAAAAATGGTTCACTTACCTTAGCTTACGTATGACAGTACCTAGAGTGAGCAAACTACGATTAATGTGACAGCCTTCTTTCAGCCTAGCACCAACAGACAATGCTTGAGATGCACGTTCGCTGCCTGCCAGATCAACGAAGTTCTGCATCCAAAGAACATGCTAAGCCTTATGAAGCCCAGTCTCTGTAAGAATAATCACTGGAATAAATTAAGCTAAGAATATATTTTACCACACTAGCGGAAAGCGTAGCTGTATTGTCTTTCCCCAAGAATTCACGAGCAGAACTTTCAATTGTCTGCAGAAGATAAGTGATGAATCATAAAGTTTTGAACTCAATAGAAAAATATTGCAAAAAAGAAAAAAAGAGCTACTGTTAATAAGTGACAAACCAGTCTAAGTATTTGATGGGATCTGGAGCTCATTTCATTTAATGAGGTCTCTCCTATTCTTCTTTGAGCTATGCCAAAGATAAACGGTAAAGTCAACTCAAACAAGACAGCAAACAAATTAAAGATAATGTCATTCTGCAAAGTTCTACTTTTTATACCTTCACATAAAGAAAGTAATGATTTTAAATGATTCCAGTCGCGCAATGTCTCCTCCTTAAGTTTCTCCACAATTGTCCCTCTCTTTTAAGACACAAAAATAAATAAAGATTAGCTTAATTAACTGATAAAATGGGGCTTTTTAGTAACAGATTGCCATACCTCAGGATCATCAAGAAGCCTAAGAGGAGTCCCATCCATGCTGAGCAGATCTCTCACAGCTTCATTATAAATCTCTATTGCTGATAGCTTTAAGGCAAATGCTCTTTCTGGATGCTGCAATAGTTATAAGGAGTCACAAAAGAAGCAAACTGAAAAACAAAGCATATAAATTGATAGCATGAACACTTGTAGATGATAGATTACCCTCTTTATGTAGTCATATATATCTGCAACTGTATACTCAGTGATTCCTGTCATGGTGTATGTCTTTCCACTGCTTGTTTGGCCATAGGCAAAGATGCTTGCTGAATTAATATAAAAATTGAACGCTTACTTGTTATTAGAATATGCAGAAAGTTGGAAATCTAGGAGTTATATCTTTACTTACAGTTGATGCCACTAACAACTGAAAGAGCAACTTCTTTTGCCGCTTCCTCATACACTTGCTCTGTGGTGCTTTCACTTCCAAATACTCTGTCTATCAAGCAAGCAAATAATAGATTACAAATGGAAATAAAGACCAAATACAAACAAGAACGATCTTTTATTATACCAATCATATAACACAAGTATGAGAGTAGCTTCCATGGAGATCAGGGTAACACCCACAATTAACACACTTCACGTTTAGAAATTCAACAAAGAAAAGAGATCAGGGCATCTAAATTTTCCCATCAAAGAACTTAAGAAGAAAAATGGAGAAAACTGGTTAGTGAGAAAAGAGATATCCAGACTAATTCTTCTTCCCCATACTTTCCTCTTTTATGAAGGGATGAAAAAGAAAAAAAAAAGATAAGTTTTGAGCAGAAATAAACAATTTTTGAGAGCTGCAAAAAAAAAAAAAAATTGCTCGCAAAGATCTCGGGGCTATAGAATGGAAAAATCTGAAGATACCAGTCATATACAATCACTGTCCACAAAAAAAAATTACAAATTTCTGCAGAAGAGAAAAATGAGACCCGCAGACAAAATACTCATTATACTAAAAATCAACAAAGAACCCTAGAAAACCTCAATCGCTCCAAAAGAACTCCCGAATTCATCATCGACAACACGGCATCATCAAATAATTGATGAATCACAAGAAGCAATAAACGGGGGACCGAATGCTCACCGAATGTGTAGGCAATGGGAGTCAAATGCCTATCAGGGAAGCTACTCCTGAAGATGATGGTTGCGTCATTGATGCATTCCCACTCTGCAGGATCGTTGGCCAAGATCTCCTTCTCGCTCAGCGGCCTCAATCTCACCGACACCAATATCCTCTCAAGCTTGCCCCCTCCGCCGCTGCCGTCAATCTCCTCCGCTGCTACCGCCGTTTCCCACTGCTGCATCTCCTCCCCACCGACTGCCCCCATCCTTCACTCACGGCTCCCGTAACCACTTCTTTGGTTACTTTTTAAGTCCACAAGACCCAAAGCACCTTCTTTTGCGACTCCACACGACTTTAAGACACCGCAACTCGAAGAAAATAGCGTTTTTTTCGGGGTGCTTCCTGCAAATAAGAAGAAGATGATGGGCGACTGCTGGAATGTTGCTGTTAAAACGGAGAGGACGTCACTGACGGTTGATGTGGTACAATCCACAACCGCGAAGGGATCAGGACCGTTCGTTCCATGATTTTGCTCTTCTCACCAGATCTCGCAGAAGAGACTGATAAAAAAGAAAGAAAACAAAGTAAAAATACTTTATCTTTTAGACTTTGTGCTCTAACATAGAGAAGAGATTCTCGGATAGGAGAATGGGACTTTGCAATTGAAAGGAAGACGATCAGAATGATGATCTCTGATCCTCTACGCTTTCTTATAAATCTACCATTGGACCGAAAAAAAGAATGGATCTTGAAAGCGATTGGCGGATAATCCAGGTGAAAGAGGGGCCAGGAGGTCGGTTCCTTAAGCTATAATTCCAGATAATTAAAGGTGGATGGTGCTGGGTTTAGTTCCGAACAACCTCCATTTCCTCCATCCTTAAGCAAGAAACCAGAACCTGACCATGATCTCGAGTCAAAACCCGAAATATATTAAATTTATTTATTTATTGACATAAAATAGAACAAGATTTGTTTATTGGACTGTGATGAAATGTTCTTGAGATCCGTGAGTTCGGTGAGTAAAGAAAATGGTGGGAGTCATGAGTCATCAGTCATTAGAGTACTGGATGGGTGGTTAGGGGTTTGGTCCCAGGCCACGATGAGCCATTTAAAAGGTTCCTTTACACCTACTTTCTAGCTTTGACGACTAACCGTTTCCTTCTTCTGCTTATGACTTTCTACCATTACTGCTTGCGAAATTTTGTGAAAAATAAAGATAACAGGAACCTGGAACTGTTCGCCTGGGAGCAGGAAGAAGGAGCTGGCCGTCGCCAATAGAAGAAGGTTTAGGCGGGGAAGAAGGCCGCTTCTAGCCGTTATGTAGCCGTTGCCAGGTGGCCTTCATCGCTGATCCGTTACAATTTAAAAATATACATATGTGAGAATTATTAATTAGTTTAAGAGGAATGAATTTGATGACCTCTGCAATTACTATTGGAAATCAGCGGTGCATTTTAATAATAAATGGATTTAATTAGTTTGATCGCGACCATTTAGGTGAGATTATACTGTCCAATTGTCATCATGGTATGAGAGAATTAACAATCTCCCTTTTCTTTTTCAGTTGGAAAAGTTTGAAACTGATACTAAAATTTAACTAGATGAAAATTGGAAGATAAGGACAAGCTATTAGGTAGGGTTGGCGAGTTCATAGTATGACTGTGGATTGCATCATACATCACTTGAGTTTGAAATAAGACTAAGGCACTTTTTGGTTGGATTCCAAATAAGTGCAATGTATTTCAAATATATGGTTTTTTTAACAATTTTGATATTTGATTGGATGAAAAAGAGACATAAAGTAGATGTAGTGTAAATTGTTTTAATTCATTTTTGAGGTAAATCAAACTTGATGATTGTTTAGCAAGAATGGTTTACATCTCAAGTAAGCTAGCTTGACTGCTTCCAACCATCGACGGCCTCCACCAGCCTCCGGCCACCACCCATTGACCGTCGCTGATGGTCACCACGACCGTCAGCCACCACCTTCACCGCCACCAGCTTCCACTCACCAACGTTGTCACCCTCCTATCACCACCATCCGCCGGTCACAATCATCTTTAGACTTTACGTTATATTCATTTTTCTTCAAACTAAACAAAAAAATATTCACCTGAATTTACTTTACACTCATTCAAACAGTTTCAAAGTATTCTTTTTATAATGTATTCATTTTACACATCATTCTTTTTCATGCATTCTTTTTTGGGTCAATCAAAACAGCCCCTAAAAAAGGATAAATAATCTACAAACAAATATAAACTTATTGAGTCCTGGAATATTAACGACGGTAGAGAAATATAAAATTTTATGTCTTAGCTTTATACGAATATCTAGCACACAAACATATAAAAGAGAGGGTGTAACATTTATAAGATACACCAGCGTTTTTACGTGGAAACCCCTTAAAAGGGGAAAAACCATGGGGCCTGGCCCAGTTTGAGTGAATCCACTATTATTTGCAATTGATTACAAATAAGGCCCTTACTTGGGGGAAGGCCTTAGGTTGACGTAGAAAATGTACATCATATTACATGGTGGGAATTTGAAGAATTAATATTGAAATGTTCGTTTAGTCGACAGAATCATAGTCGGCAGGCGACGGAGGTCGGAAAGACAGTAGTCTGATAATGGTGGTCAGAAGGATCATTATATGGCGAGGGAGGTTGGAAGGACCGTGGTAGGAGGGAGAAAGCGGTCAGAAAGATCATTATCATGCAAGGGAGGTCGGAAGGATCGTAGTCGATGAGATACAATGGTCAGAAAATATCTTTGTTTGGCGATGGAGGTCAGAAGGAATGTAGTAGACAACAAAGGTAAGAAAGATTGAAGCTGGCGGGAGACAGTGGTTAGAAAGATTATTGCCTGACGATGGAGGTCAAAAGGGCCGTAGTAGGCAACAAAGGTCAGAAAGACCGTAGTTTGTAGGAGATATGAGTCAAAAAGATCATTTATGATGATAGAGGTTAAAAGGATCGTAGCCGGTATGAGATAGGAGTTAGAAAGACTGTTGCATGGCGATGGAGGTCGAAATGACTGTAGTATGCAAGAGACTGGGGTTAGAAAGACCATAGTTGTAAGGCAGCATTCTGGTAGAAGTTCGGGCACTATTCGGTGGACTGGCAGAACTCCAACTTCTGTCAGTGGTCCGACGAAAGTTCGGGCCCGATTCGGTGGTCCGACGAAACTTCGGTGTCAGGCAGTGGTCGGAAGAACTCCGGCGTTAGGCCGTGATACGGCAGAACTCCTACGTCAGGTGGTGGTCTGGTAGATATCCAACTTTGGGCAGTGGTCCAGCAGTAGTCCGACGTCGAGTGGTGGTCCGATAGAACTCCGGCGTCATGTGGTGGTCCGATAGAACTCCTACGTCAGGTGGTGGTCTAGCAGAAAGTTCGGCGTCGGGTGGTGGTCTAGCAAAACTCCGGCGTTGGACGGTGGTCCGACGGCAATCGACAATCGGATAGAAGTCTGGCAGTGATCGTCATCTGGGCGATGGTCTGACGACAGTCAGGCAGAAGTCCGGCGGCGGTCGGGGCCAAGCGATGGTCCGAAGACGGTCGGGCTCAAGTCCGACATCGATCGGCTGCCGGGCAGTAATTCGACGACGGTCGGGTTGTAGCCCGATGGTAGTCAATGCTCGGAGGCTGGGCAAAAATTTGGCGGCTGTCGGCATCCAGGCAGTGGTCCGACCACGGTAGGGCGGAAGTCCGGCGGCGGTTGGCGATCGAGTGGAAGTTTGGTAGAGGCTGGCGGCCGCACAGTGGTCTGATGGCGGTTGGCTGCAGGTGGAAGTTAGGTGGCGGTCGAAGGACGGGCGGTGGTCTGAATGCGATTCAGTAGAAGTCCGACGGCGGTCGGCTGCAGGGTGGAAGTCCAACGGTGATCGATAGTGGGGCGGTGGTCTAAAGATGGTCGGGCTAAAGTCCGGCGGTCGAGCGGTAGTCTGACGACGGTCGAGCTAAAGTCTGGTGGCGCTCAGTGGCATGCCATATTTAGATATCATTTTGTCATCCAAAATAATGTTTTGACCCTTCCAATGTGATCCATGCCCCCAATTTGGACCCATTTGGGCTTGGGTTGGACCGGTTTTGGTGTCGTTAGGCTCGTCTCTTTGAGATGTTCAGTTTGACTATCAATTTGTTGAAATTGAAATTCAGATGATCCCACTTTTAATTTTGAAAATTTCCAACTTGAATATGCCTCGAGATTCATGCTCGATCAAAGCAATTTTTGATGTCGTATCAAAACTATACTTTTAATGATATTCAATTAAGGTTCTGTAAAATCCAAAATTAAAATAATGTCTAATATGCTGAGTCATCAAGTCGTGGTTAAGATAAATTCCATAATCTAGAGATTAAAATGTTTTCTAAGTTATTTGTTGACAAATATTATGGACTCATCTACCATGGAGCGTCAATATATATATTTTTCTAATATTGACTATTCTTCCATCATCTATATTATTACATGTTAAAGTTTTATGGTAATAGAATATGTGTTTTACATATGAGTTTTATATACAAATTCAATGCGTGCAAATAAAAAATTGTGAGAATTCTGAATTTTTTTACATGAAATATTTAAAAAGAGAAATAAAAATAAAAAAACCGCAGAGCCATAATATACAACAGATTCATTAGGAGACAATTTTGTAATTTGATAGTTGTCAAATTTATTCGTAAAGAATGATCTAATTCTACCAAACATTTGCTAATTAAAAATTTTGTTTAGGTATATAGCTTATTTAATATACTATGGTAGATGTTTGGATGTGATTTTAAATAAATCTAATGGTATTTCTAATCATTTGTTTTGTTATTATTCGTTAATTAAAATGTCTTAATTCTAATAAACAATTGCTAATTTGATTCCTTGATGAAAAAGTATTTTAATGAAATTATTTGTCCCTTCTTTTTATTTTTAGTAAGGTTAATTTCTTTAGTATTTTTTAAGGATCAACGCAATTAGAGCATAAATATAGCGATTAGCATTAACTAATTAATAATGAATTAATAGTTAAATAATACATTTAGGATTTGTTTGTAATATTGATATTATGTATTTTGAACAGAAATTTTGGAGCAGAGGTGGCAGAAGAAGATAATTCCTTTCCATTTTGGATTATTTTTTGCGGTTGATCAGATTGCTCGTCGTTTTGGATTGGAGGTTGCGGGGCTATGATGTAGCTGGGGCTCGTGTCCTCGTCGGCTATCTTGTGGCAACCGTTGGTGATTTTCACTCTACTGGATGGTCCTTGCGCGGTTTCGAGGATGCTGGGAGTCTCGGCTATCTACTGAGCCCTCTTTTGGAATTTGTTTTTTCGTTTTTCATTGAGACTGTAGCTTTTATTTGGGGTTCTTCTCTTGCTGTTTGCCTTTTTCCAGCTGTTGTACCTCCTTTTTTATAGTTAATATATTTTTTTTTTATAAAAAAAAAATGTATTTTGAACAGAAAAAAATTAAGTAATAATCTAAATCGTTTCTTAACTTATATTTTCTGACTGAATTTCCGAAGAAAAAAAAAAACTGACATTTAAAAAAGATAAAATCCGGACGTTATTAAAATAAAATTTTCAATCTGAATATTTTCATAAATAATTAATAGTATAAAATTGATTATAGAATTCAAAACAGATATATATACATTTGTATTTATTTTCCAAAAAATTATATCACTGAAGGAAAATCGGTCATTACTGACGGAATTTTTGGCGGACTATTTTCTGGCGGATTTTCCGGCAGCTTTCCGACGGATAAAGATGAAATATTTCTGACAAGTTTTTAGAAAGATTTTCCAGTCGATTTCCGGGGCTTTCCGGTAGATTTGTTTCCGACGAATTTTGTGATGGATTTTAATAATTTCTGAAAAATATTGTATATTTGTAAATTTATTTATTTATAATTTTATAGTCTATTTTAATTCATTATTAATTTAATAACTAGATTCGGGCCTGATCAAGATAATTTTTTGATGATATATCAGTTTTCAAAGATTTTTATTTAAACTATTGGATTCTTCCCAAAATTAATTTTTTTAATATTTTTCTTGATTTTATTAAACTTTCATAGCGTAACTTTTTATGTGTTATCGTATTGAATATTATGAACATTTTGACTGTAATTTTTTAAATTTCACTAGATATAATGAAAGATACTATATTTCATATATATTTTCCTAAATAGAAATTGATATTTTATTTTATGCATATTGCTAAAATAGTCATTTAGAAAAAAAATATTAATTTACGGTTGAGTAATAGCTTATTGTTATAGGTGTCATAAAATACTGTGAAAATAATGTGTGAAGACAAGTAAAAATTGGCACGCTTATTGATGTCAAACATCTCAGGAGGTCATATATACTAAGATTTCTTTGGGATGAGCACACATAACTGTGGAGTTTCTTAATAAAATTTCAACAATTCACCAAAAAATACCTTGACTTTAAGAGTTTAGCTTCTTTTACTTAAGGGGTTTTACAAGCTCGGCCATCTCCTTCGACCAACCACCACTAGCACCTGCCCATGTTGTTGGCAAGCACCTCATCAACTAAGATGCTTGGGCATTTCTTAGTTAAGGAGCCTATGATGAGGCAATTTTTTTAAATTTTTTCGCTGTCTTTTTTTTTTAATATTTTTTTTTCATTCATCTTTTTATATTTTACTGTAAATAGTTCTCAACAAACTTTTGCTCTACTTAATGTTCAAATCTCCACAAGCTCTATTCTCCTCATGAGATCATGATTACTAACAAAGGAAAATATATAAGATTACTTTTTATTTATGCATGGAAACGCTCTAAAGGGGATATCTCTTAAGAAATCTCCAAACTTGCCACTATCATTGCTTCTTCTATATCCAATTTACCTAATCTTCATGATAAAGGGACCTTAACCTCCATTATTATCAAGATTGAAGGTCAATCAATAAAATATGTCATGCCTTCTACTTCAAAAGAAAGAAAAGAAAAATAAAACAAAAGAGGCGCCCCATCTTCATCAACTATCAAATTAATATATTTTTGCAACATTATGCCTTTGAATTTCCCCGTGGCGGGCGGGAGGGGAATGGTGATGTTCATATCATTAATTATAGAAATTTATCAATGATTATCACATTGACATTTTATATCTTTTAAACACTAAATTGAATTATGATGCTATTGAATTGGTTGCTAATATAAAGCATCTCAATGTTTTCTATTATGATGATTGTTGTAATAATTTTCACAACTCATCTAATGACTGCATACAAATCAAATGGAATGCTGGTAATGCCTTTTTGAGAAGAGCGTTTTGATAAATTTGGCCAGAATTTATAACACTTCATCATACGGTTCATATTAGTCTCCTATAGATTATTTATCAAACATTCAAATGCCTTAATGATTTTTTTAGTATCGAGAGATCCTAAGCTCATTTGATTTATTTAGATGAGCCAATCATTTTGACTATAAGTATGTTATAATTGCAAGTAATTTGATCAATTAATTTATGTTCAAAAGTTTTCAAATATAATTCAAGAGTGCTATTTGAGCTCATTTGGAGTCGAATCAGATCATTCGTAACATCTATAAGTTCGTCTCATCATGACGTTCAATTCGACTATAAATTTAATAAAATCAAAATTCATATGATCCTAAGTTTGGTTATATGAAAGTCTTTATAATTGAAGAGTGATATCCATTTCATTTATGCGCCACAAATTCGAGCAATAATTCGAATTATCAGTTTTATGTTTCAACTTTCAACTATTATTTCACAACAGAACTTATGTGGGCCGGGATGATCAATAAAGAGATTTTACAATGTTGGATCGGCTTAGTAGGCCCAACACCAACAAAGGCCTTTTAACAAAACTCGGAAGCTTTCGGCCCACGTTATCAAGAGAAACATCACCACTAAATTATTTTTAAATATACATTGACATACGTTTAATATATATATATTTTTCATATAAATAATAATTTAAAAATAAATTTAATTATTTTATGTTCATCCTTATATAAATTATACGATGAACAAAAAAGTTTTTTTTTTCCATTGCTTTTAATGGAAGGAGAAAGACAACTTATATAAGATAGCCTCACAACAAAATATACATGAATTTATGGAGAAAATTATGTTAGATTATGGCTTCATTTGGGACGACTTTCTTACTGCTTTGCAAAACAGCTATTTAATACAAAAAAATTTTCAACTAAAAAATTTTGTACTAAAAAATTGCTTTAGAAAACATTAAGAGAGCTGTCCCAAACGAAACCTATGTTTATCAAATTTGAAGAGAATTCAAAAGTCTTTGAAATTTGTTTTGATTTTATTCTGATTAAGGCTTCATTTGGGACGGCTTTTTTACTGCTTCTTAAAATAGTTTTTTAATACAAATTTTTTTAATTAGAAAGCAGGTTTAAGAAGCAATAAAAAAACTGTCCCAAACAAATACTAAATCTACTTTTTCCTATTTTGGGTGCATTTGTATTTTATAATTTTAATGTGGAATAAGATGAAAAGATTGGAGTAGCTTCAATGCCATATAAGATTAAAGATACTGTATTAGATGATTTGATCACATAAAATATCTACAATCTTATTACTCAGTTAGGAGAGTAGATGTATCAGAATCGGCCTATATTAAGAAAGATATTGTCGTAGAATAAAGACTTAATGTAGTTATTGTGGCAAACAGAACATAGAATAATAGGTACAACCACAATATCCTAAAATAAAAAACAATAAGTAGGTGGTCTTCTAGTAGGGGTGTCAATTAGGGTCAACGGGTCGGGTTCGGGTCGAACCCGGAACTGACTCGACACTATTCGGGTCAATCCGAACCCGACCCATTTTTAAAAACATGTCAGATTTCCAGACCCGAACCCGACCCGATTCGGGTCCGGGTCAACCTGACCCGACACAATGACCCGAAGTTGACCTAAAATTGCTTGTTTTTGGGTAAAAATTCCGGTCAATATTTGATTTTCGGGTAAAAATCGGGTAAAAAACGGGTCAATCTGGGGTTTCCGAGTCAAATAGGAGTTTTCATGTCAATTTCGGGTTGCTGGGTCAACTCGAACCCGAACCTATTTTTAAAACGGGTTGATTTGTTGAACCCGAACTAGACCCGTTTCGGGTTCGGGTTGACCCTAACTTAGATTTTTCCGGGTCGGATTCAAGTCGTGTCAAAAATTGGAGAAGTTATTACGTCCGATCAAAAACTAAACGGTCCGAATGTATACGGAGCAATACCGAGTGTCAAATACCGAAATTTTGGTGATATGACGCGTGGTTATTGACCTCTGATCAGTTAACTCGACGGAATAATTGCTCCAAGAATTAACACCCCTATCTTCTAGGACCCCGAGAAGTTCTGAAGCTGGATTCTGTTGCTTTGAAGATTTTTCTTCTGATTAGTGATATTGAATATTATTCTGTTGCTTTGAAGTTTGGGTCTGAATTTGTGACCCATTAGTTTCCTAATGGGTTTGGGCGGCTCATTTTCGTGTTAAGCCCGAACTAGCCCAAAAACTGTTTGACACCCATAATAGTTGAAGTTAAAGATAAATCTCTCCTGCGGAACAACAGACCATCGCGTTTCACTTTTGTTCCTTCCAAAACTGTACGTCTTTCCCCTTCGCCTCATGGCTTCTGCGTCGAAACTGTTGAAGCAGACCTCGCTCGACGCCTTCCTCCACCCAAATCCATCTAAAACCCTAAACCCAATATCCAACCACCAATCTCTCTCATCTTCCAACTCAACTTCCGACTACGAACGTATCCGCCTAGAAACCATTCGCCGGAACTCCGACTTCCTTCAAAAGCTCGGCCTTGCCTCAACTCCGCCAGCTCCCAAATCCCAGATCAGAAAGAGAATCCCTAAAACCCCACCTTTACCCTCCGTCCCTCTTCGCAGGAGCACTAGGAAACGAGGGCCGCCTCCGCCGCCATCCGATGACGCCGACGAACCTTCGTTGCCCTTCGAGGTCGAGGTCGTCGACTCTTCCGTCTTCCGCTACGCCTGCGACGGGGAAAACCATTCTTCTTTTGTTCCTCCGCCGTCTCTTTCCACATTTTCGGCTTCTATCGTGGGCTTCAAATCTGTTGGAAGTGCTTTTCGCGATCCTTCGCTCACCAACATTTACACCTTGGATGCGTGTTTCTTAGGGCCAGAACGGTTCTTGGTTGCTGCCGGTGGCCATGCTGGCTTTATTTCCGTTTACGGAGGGGAAGGAACGGCGGTGGAAGAGGATGGTACCCGAAGGCCTCTCATGAGCTGGAAGGGTAGTCGGAGCTGGGTTTCTGGTGTGATGTTTATGGAGAGAAATCCAATGTTACTCGTTTCTAGCTCGAATGATGGGAAGATTATTGTGTGGGATATTAAGAAGCAGCAGTATTCATCGACTTGGATTCCTCCTATTGTTACTGAATCAGTGGGACTGCATTCAAGCGGAATTTTTTCCGTGGATAGATTTGATTGCTTGATAGCTACAGCTTCTAAAGACTCTTCTGTTGGTATATCCAGGCTTTTATCAGGTGGTGAGCTTGTTGCCGAACGGAATATATCCGGTCATCATTCTGGTGCAATCAGAGGAGTTTGTTTTGGGTAAATTCTCCATTGTTGCTCTTCTTTACATTTTCGTTGGGTTACTTTCTAATTTCATGAGCACACCTCAATTTTCTGGGTTTGTTTTTTGTGTTCTTGATTGTTCAAGTTTTCATGTTATTAAGGTGCACTTCAAGAGAAATTATTAGGAAAGCATAACTCATACTTTTTTTCTTCTATATTTTAGTTTGTACTGCTTTTATTATTCAGTTGAGATATTTTAATTCAGACTAAAAAATCAACACCAAAAAATATGAAATAATAAATATTAAAAATACAAATTAACTTACAAATGAATCCTGACCTAAGGTCTTCTATTAGGTTGTGGCAACAAAACAAGAAATTAAAATCATTTTTATGGACATCTACGAATTTAGATTGTGAACATTCCACATATCTCAATTTGGTATGTTGGTTGGGAAATTTGGCTACTAATCAAGAGATATTGGGTTTGAGTTTTGCGTATGTGGTGTGTGTGAGTTTGCCTTAATTGGCCTAAATGTAAAAAAAAATAGTTATGAACATTCAAAGGAAGTCAAGAAGATTGAAATAGATTTTTCATATCTAGAAAAGGCTGATGAAACTTCCATGTCAGCAACAAGGTTGGCCCAGATAAAGGATATCTTGAGCGGTTGAGCCTCACAGTCGAGTGTCGACAAGGCTATTGTGGAAGAACTCGGTAAGATGAAGGACAAGATGTTGCCTTCTTCATCCATTGTGATGGATAAGAGGGAGGTAGGAGGGATGTCTTCAAAGGAAACCAAAGAGCTATAGTGGACTATGAAAACAATTCTGATGAGGATGAAGAGCATTTTCATGTATGTAAGTTTGGGCAAGCATCCACCTTTGGGGATACTCAATCCAGAGAAGTTGCCATTTTGATGATTTTCGTGTCCTTAACTGAATGGCATTAGGAAACCCATTTAAATTCTCTTATTTAAAATTATGTTTCTAAAGGGAAAACACAAGTTCCCCAGCTTGTATAAGCAAATAATAAGGTTAATGGCACCAAATCACAATTGAAAAGGAAAGTCAAGATTGCAGTCCAAAAGATTTACACATGGGTAATATGCATGTGAAAAACTCTAGCTGGAAAAAAAAAACATGAGCACATTGGCAAGCTAATGAGAAAATTTCATAATCTGAAAAATAAATATTAGAATAGACTCTTTTTAAGCCTTCTTTCATATTAATTAATTAAGTTCGAAAGTCATATTGAACTCATAACATTTATATGATCACTAACCACAAATACTGATGGCACTTATAGCAGATGTGTCTCGCTTAAATTTGCTGATTACATAAAGGATCTTGCTTTCTGAAAGAAAACGTATAAGGGACTAAGTAGGCAGCTTAATTATAATATAACAATGAGTAGATCAACAATTGGCTTCTGCATACCCATATGCATATATAAGGTTTAGTATGTAGTGTGTTGCAAAATGCACATAATATATGCAATGATACAATGAAATATACAAGCATTCAATAATGAGGGTGTCAACAGAAGCATAGGATAAACAAAGCAAAATAGATATTAAACTCAAACCAGATTATGTTATCATAAATCAGAAAGTACACTAGAGACAAAATATCAGGAAAGTTTAATCATATCAATGATGACAATGGACTTGGTATGCTCTATTCATATTAGCAGGTGATGGACCGAAAGGCCCACACCCATGGGAATTATCGATCCTCACACCATGAAGTATCATTCAAACAAGTTTATCATAGAGTTGTGCTGTGCAAAACTCTATCCTGATACGTCACAAGGCTAATATATCTGTTGATGATCACAAGGCGATAACGTATAAGTGGTTTGCTTAGAGTAAAATTTGACACATGTAACAATATTGTTGTCTATGTTCAAAGCTTAGGATTAATAGAGATCAATATAAATTAGATCTCACTTGAAGATATGCATAATTGAGATAGTTTGATTAAAATTTATTTAAGTCATGCTAGTTCAAAGAATTACGGCAACAACTCATAATGTTATTGAAGGCAAACATATTAATATGAATTATGAATGGTATAAAGTGGATTATGTCAAGCAGAGGACAAAGATAATCATTAAAATTATATGGCCATAAAACATGAATCAACATGAAATGAATGCATCATGACATTCATATAGCAGGAGTTGAGGAACCTAAGAATGTTATAAAGTATATACTTGAAGAATAAAAAAGAAAAAAAGTTATAGTAGTAAAAAAATAGTTGGTGGTAGAATCAAAATGTAAAAAATAAAAATAAGAAGCTTTATTATAAAATTGGTTTAGATGTACAAGCTCAAAAAATTGGAAAAATATAGAGGGGCTCATAGAGATTCTAAAAAAGCCATATGTGATATTAAAATTATTACATTTTTGTCTTTTTTCTCCTTTTTTATATATAGGTTCTATTTTGTAATAGAGTAGGTAGAAAAGTAATAAACCATTTTTGCTTTTTCTTTTCCTAGTTGTATGTCTTCCACTTCTTCCTTTTTTTGTTCTATGCTGCATCTCGAAGCCTCAGTCTTCTTGTAAGATGGTATTAGAGAGGGTTTCAATTGTCCCATAAAATCATAAGGGACATGTTGGACTCTTTGTAAATCCCTCTCCATGGGAACGCCAACTAGTTCTTCTTCCGCAAGCAGCATAAATCTTATTGTCGACTATCCATATCGTCCTTTCTACTTTTATCACTCCAATAGCCCAGATATCTCCTTTGTCTCCCATGTCTTCACTAATGAAAACTCTGCATCATGATTGCCTTGTCCACCAATAATAAGCTTGGCTTCATTGATGGGTTGATCCTTGAGCCAGACGTAATGAACACACACCTCCTCCATTCTTGGATTTGCAACAAAAACATCTTTATTTCTTGGATCGTGGACTCCATATGCAAAGAAATTTCAGCAAGCTTGCTATATTGTAGTACCGCCAGCGAAATTTGGATAGATTTACAATAATGTTTTCTGCAAATTAATGGACCTCAAATCTTCCAATTAAAATGTGAACTCATCAACCACAAGCAAGAACACACAAATGTAAGTCAATATTTCACTGAAGTCAAAACATTGTGGGAAGAACACAAGAACTAGAAGCCAACTTGTAGTTGTGGAAAATGCGATTGTGTTGGAGTAAATTGTTCAAGCTATTGTGAAATTGATGGCGTAGGCTACAACAACAACAACATCAAGCCTTTATCCCACTACGTGGGGTCGGCTACATGAATTCATTTCCTCCATTTTGTCCAGTTAAGAGTAAAATTCTTATTTAGTTATAATAAAGAAAGACCATTTCTAATATTTTTTAACCAAATCTTTTTAGGTCTACCTCTACCTTTCTTAACATAATTTAAATCTAATACATCTACTCTCCTAACCGAGTCATCGGAAGGTCGCCATTTTATGTGAACAAATCATCTAAGGCAACTCTCTAATCTTATCTGCCATTGGAGTGTCACGACCCTGGTAAGCTCGCAAAGGCGAGGCGAAAACAGACAGTCATACGATAAACAGTAAAAACTAACATTCATTCCAACATAAACTTGTAATAATGTTCATTCCAATATGACATAAAAGAGCCACTAAATCACACATATAAATATTATTTTCTCTTTTACAATTCTTCAATAACATCAAACACTAATAGTCAAAACAAGTAAACAACAAATCCCAAAGTTCATAAAACATACATTCTATGCCTTACACACACAAGACACAAACTGAAAGAAAAACCTGTCACTCCGACTCCGTCCAGTCCTATGACGATAAATAAATTGCCTCTCTGCCATCAGTTCCTAGGTGGTTCTTCTGAAAAAGAATCCCTTACCAAGGGATAAGCTTACTTGCCCAGCTGGTAATTCATATTTCCTATAAAAATTTCATAAAACAACAATAAAACATTTTACATAAAAATAAATATCCATCAGGTGAAAAGCTTTGAACAACTATTGATACATAAATTCAAAACCATTCTGAATAAAAACATTTTCATAACCTTTCCTCAAACATAAACTTTTAATGTGCATACAAAACATATATGAACCTTAATATACATAATATTTACTATAACACCCGTCTCGGAGGTACCATAGAGTTTGTACTGATCAGGTACACATTTTTATTTATTTGACCATTCCTTTACCATTGGCTCTAAAGAGCCCCTTTACCATTTGACTCTAAAGAGCCCCTTTACCATTTGGCTCTGAAGAACCCTTTTACCATTTGGGCACTCCGCATCAACATGCACAGTTTCATATCATAAACAGATAAACTTATAGTCTATTTTTCAGTCAATCATATGCTTATAACGAAAACTATCATAATTTATAAATCATAAGATTAACACATGAAAACCACGAATAAATCATAACAAGTAAGCGAACTAACATATTGAAATAAAAAGACTTTACTAACATGCTATTTTCAAAATATAATTCATAAATCACATAAACTTTGAAAACTTTAAAATTTTGCATTGAATAAAAAAAACAAAACAATATATGAAAGTTTTACAAGAGATATGAGTACCTACATTAACACAAGTATTGAAATCCACACCGACGTCGCTTAAGCTCGAGGCATCCTTTTAGTCGGCACCTAAATATAAAAACAACCATTGTCACCCAACCTTAATCATATCATATTTTCATTAAAAGATTTATTTTAATTTCTATTTTCGGATTTAAATAATTCCTTAATCATTACATCACCTTAATTCTAAATATTCATTAATTTCCTAATTAAAATAAAATTAATTATAATTTTCGGATTTATTAAAATCCCTAATTTTTGAAAACCCAAAATCCATTTATTTAATCAAATAATCAAGCCAAATATTCCCCTAAACCAAATTAATAATTAGGTTAATTAAATTTTGGATTTATTTAATATAGAAATTATGAAAATATAATTTTCATGAAAAACCATAATTTATGTTATTAGAAACTCCTTTAGGATCATTTGGAATATTACATCTTAAGAAATTTTCTTAAAAATCCAATAATAATGAAAACCCTAATTTTTCTAAACTCATAAAATTTGGGAAAAACTTGCAAATTCATGGTTCAAATTTCTTCCTTAACCTTTCGTATCATTTTCTAAACAAAATATTCAATTTTAATGAAACCCTAAAATTTTTTCTTCCAAAAATCTTTGAGAAAAAGAAGAAAATTCTTGTTTAGAAACTCACCTTAGTCTTCCCTTAGCCTCCTCAACGATTTCCCCCAAGATTTACCGTCGAAATCGTTGCCGGAGACGTGCCCGTCGCCCCTCTCCCGTCCGTCCGCATTCTCTTCGTTCGGCCGCACAAAATGATCGCAAGATGAGGAATTTTTATTAGGTCCGGACACCTGATGTAGCTCTACATCCGGACGTCAATAAAATGTCGCCATGTGCTCTTACTCTTTATCGCGCGGCCTGACGACCAGACCCAGACCGGAACCCGGTATTGCTATGTATTAGCTGATTTGTGCATACCAGAGTATTGTTAGGTTTTGCTCGGTAATGAGAAATATCATTGTGTCAAGACCAATACCTAGCAATGCCAGCAACACCTAGCAATACCGAGCAATATTACGGTTTTGCTAAGTATTGCTCGGTATTGGTCTTGATAGAGCGGTATTTCTCATTATTGCCAAGCAATACCTAGCAATACCGAGCAATACCTAGCAATAAACTAACATAGCAATACTGGATTCTGGTTCGGGTCGGGTCGTCGGGCCACGCGGTAAAGAGTAAGAGCACGTGGCGACATTTTATTGGCGTCCGGATGTAGAGCTACGTCAGGGGTCCGGACTTAATAAAAATTCATGAGGAATTTTTATTAGAGTTAGGGATTAACCAAGATGAGAGGCGTTCGACCTCTTAATGCTTTAGGGAGTTAGGGATTAACCAAATTACCATATTGCCCTCACTTAAAACATATTCGCTTCAGTAATGACTAAGGGTAATTTGAGTATTAAGAGACTTATATTAATTTTAATTTGTAAATTAAGCAAATTAGATATAGGTTTTATATATCAATTTACTCAGAATTTTGCGTAGAATTTTATAAATTTTATTTCATCGAAATCCAATGACATTGAATTTTCACTTAAATTTCGTCGCGACGCATCAAAATGCGTGCGACGCCTACGATTATCGATTTTGGGTTTTACATGGAGCTACTCCAACCTTTTCATTTTTATGCTTATTTCGTATCGTGCCTCTAAGAGTAAAGCCACTCTTCCACCTGAGCATTGTCATCTCTGCAACACTTAACTTAAAATGATGCTTCTCTTTTAATAGCCAACATTCTGCGCTATAAAACATTGCAGGTCTAACCACCATCTTATAGAATTTTCCCTTAAGTTTGCGTGATACTTTTCTATCACACAACAAGCCCGATGCATTCCACCTCATCAATCCAACTTGAATTCTACTAATAATACCCCCATCTATTTCATCATCACTCTGAATAATAGACCCAAGATATCTAAAACGTGCACTCCTATTAATGGCTTGATCGCTCAATGTCACAAACCCCCATTAGACCTATTACTTCTAAAATTACACTCTGAATAAGATATCTAAAACGTGCACTCCTATTAATGGCTTGATCGCTCAATGTCACAAACCCCCATTAGACCTATTACTTCTAAAATTACACTCAATGTATTTGGTTTTAGATCTACTAAAACGAAAATCTTTAGACTCTAAGTTTGACCTCCATAATTCACGTTTACCTTCAACTCCCTCTTTAGTCGTATGAACAAGAAGAATATCGTCAGCAAAAAGCATACAACAGGGAAATTCACTCAAGTAGATTAATTCTTAATAATTTTGAAATTCATCAAGGACCCTAAACAAAGAAAAGCTCATCACTAAGCATGGCATCAATGCCTAAATTCATCAAAATTTTAATTACATTTCATTAATTAAGACAACCAATCAAAAGAATCAAATTTGAGAGTGAATTCAGAAAAACCCAAATTTACCCAATTGGTCAAAATTTAATGCAAGGAATCTGCTAATCTACATTCATCTCATTTATAAGGGTAATAATATGTAAAATTCATATCAGCTTAATAACCAATTTGTCAAAAACCCTAGTTACTTATCTTGGATTTTTGAAATTACACATGTAAGGTGGAAATTTTCAAAATAGTAAGCACCTACTCGATCTCCATGATAATCTTGTTGAAAATATAAACCAAAATTAATGTTTAAGTTTTTTGTGTATCTAGTAAATTGTATGGAAGAAATATCTAGAATATGCAATAACTTTTAGTGGTTGGTGGTTGGTAGTCTTTATTATAGAAATCTCTAGAATAGGTTTCTAGAATTGTCTTTGTACTAGTATAAATAGGAATTGAGTCTTGTCATATGGATGTAAGAGAGAAAATTTTATAATAGAAGTTCCTATTGTTTTTATCCTCTTCCACTCATTTAGAATAATTTCTCTCTAACAAATCTCTTTCACACTACATCATCGAAAGTTTGACAGCAGGCGACTAAACATCTGTCATCAATGAGCAAAGGAAGTGGAAACCTTCACACAACCTTATAAGGAGCAAAGGAAAGTGCAAAGCGAGAAAGTTTCTTTTTTTAATCACAATATCTATTCTATTTTTTTAAACGTAGCTTTCCTAAAACAAATGCTAAATAGCAGGAAAAAAGTTGTACAATTTTTTCATTCAAATAGATAGCTTTTTTCATGTCTATTTTTCCAACAATAAAATCAGTAAAAAAAAAAAAAAACTGCCCCAAATGAAGCCTAAATCCTCTAGTATTTTCTATCATATAGAAAGAAGAAAAGTAATGTTCGTTACATTCAGGCTCCAGTCTTGAAATCTTTGGTTTGTTGAGGATTCTTATGTTTACATCTTCAATGCTATTATGATTAACAACTTCACCTGCCATCAGCTATATATGGTTTTCATATCATCTGATGTGTATCTATTTTGCCAATGCTTCTTTAATTGAAAACATCTTCCTATATTTAAATACTTAATTGTTATCATCATGCTTATGCAGTGATGATAAAGATAAACTTGCTGATTGTGGAGCCGATGGACGAATCTGTATACTTGATGCAAGGTTAAAAAAACCTTGCACCATCATCATCAATTCACAACATTCCACCAGTCTCAACACAGTTGAGTGGTGCAGGATGAATAATTTTCTACTTTTGACAGCAAGTAGAGATCCTACATTACTTCTTTACGATATTAGAAGCTATGCTGATCCTCTTTGCAAACTTGCTGGCCATGTTGACACAAATTCAGGAATTTGTCAGCGGATATATAAACCTTCATTTATAGATGGAGGGACTAAAGTTGCAACAGTAGGTCAAGGAACAGGAAAGATATCTCTTTACAGTGTGGAGAAAGCCAAACTCTTAAGCCAAGGAATGATTGGCTATGATGCTAATTTGGTCAAGCCTTTTGAGTATGGAACAGCTGATTATATAATTTGGACTGCAGGAAGGCAAATCAATCAGTTTCGCCCCTTGAGAAATGATCTGCAAATTAGAATACCCGAGAATCTGAAAGGTGAATGTTGATATTGTTTTCTGTTTACTTTTGTTACTTCTTTTTTTTGTAAGGCTTGGAGGAACTGGTTGCATATGTGGAGCTTGTTGATTAGCAGGTTAGGATCATATTTGAATTTTTAGATATTTCTCTATTTTGATTTTTGTGCAGTTATGTTTAGTTTATTATTTAGTTCTACAGTTTCTGTTTATAGCTCTGTACTTAGTTTATACATTTTGATAAAATAAAAGAAATCTTGTTGATGAATTTATTTTTAGTACTTGGATGTTTTGGTAGCTTTGTAGTTTATTTTAAAATTTAAATTGAAAGAGAATTTGAAATATTCTAAAATTAGATTTTGGGATTTGCCTGTCACGGCTCAATACAATAAGACCTAACAAACTATAATTGTAAAAAGCTATTGGTATGTACACCATATAAGAAAACCATAAATCCAAAATAAAATTATGCGGGGTCATTTCATATGTAAAGTTTGTTGAGGGCCCACATGTTCCATCCATCTGCAACTCAAGAAATATAGAATATGTGTGGTAGTTTTTGATAAAAATATAGTACATGTGAGGTTGAACTTGGATCATCAAAGCCTAGAGTTAGCATAAACCAAAATTTGTTGTCAACATCATCTGATATATCATTCAATGAATCAGAATAGGCAAGTTAATTAATTTTCAAATGAAACACCTTGCAAAAAGCTTTTGTTTGAATAACAAAATAGCTAAACAACTCTAAATATGACATCAGATTCCATAACCAAGCAATAAACTTATCAATATCTCTATCATTGAAATGTGTAATTTTCAATTTCATCATTCGAACTCATAGATAATCATTATATGCAAAACGGACAAATGAAAAAAAAAAATTCAAATGAATACCTTTAAAAACCTACAGCCATAAGCAACAAAACTATTGAAAAGTTGGAATTTGAAAGAAGAAAACTGAGAAGAGAATTGAAATTGGATTCCACGAACCAAGTAATAAACTTTTCAAGACCACCATTCAATTCCAACAATTAATTTTTCGAATTCAGCATCCTAAATCTTAGAGCTTCTCCATATGCAAAATTTGTGCTTGATGGACCACTTAATTTTTATCTTGAGGTTTCCATGAGCAGTAAAAATTCCATCATGATTTTTGTCATTTACTTTCTCTCCATATAGAAGAGTAAATAACTACAGCATATATCAAGTATGGGTTTTTAAATAAAAAAGCTTATGATGGCATAATTCAGTATGCAGAAGAACTTGCAAAACAGTAGCATCAACAAGAAAAAATGAACCATCACGCAATATTTTTTTTTTGTGCCACATAGAGTAAGAACATTAGAAAAATATATAGGCATAACTTTCCTTCATATCATTGCATAAAATACGATTATACGACACATTTAAGCCTATAATCCGCAAATTATAAGTAGTTTTGAATCATTAATTCAAACTTTTTAATTGAAAATCATTTTTTTTATTTAATGTATCTTGTACTAATCATATTTACACCAATTAAGAATGGAATAAGAGGAGAAAATATAATATTTGGCATCAGAAACAAGAAAAAATATCTTTATTCCAAAAAAACTGTCCCCTGTTCAAAATTTGAATCTTATTGATAGTATTATAACACATCTGAAATTAAATAGTGCAGAAGGCAATCTCCAGTGTCCTCTTTCAATAATGGAATATACACATGCATTGAGTCAAAGATTAAGGTTCATCTGGGACAACTTTCCATTAGAAATTTTTGTATTAAAAAGTTGTTTTAAAAAGCAGTTAGAAATTGTCCCAATGAAGCCTAAAAGTGCTAAAAAGCAGCTTACCCCAACATTTGTCAAGTAAAAAGAACTTTTTCACTAGATCCTACTTGAAAAATAATAGATGATCTTATAGTAGTACTAATAGGTTTTAATGCCTTCCAATAATGGGACAGATGATAATTTTTGTTCCACCATAAAGAAGTATAAGCCTTACACCCCCAAGTATTTAATAGAGAAGATTCATACAAGAATTTCTAAAGACATTTGATTTTTCAGGCATAGTTAACACGTGAGGGAGATAAAAATCCAAAGCCACCATTTTTAAGAGGTCTAGTCACATTGCACTAGGAGAGAATTTGCATTTTATTAGTCTCACCATTATCACATAAGAATCTACATCTTTATCTTCTTAAAGGCTAATTTTGGAATACGTATGGCTTTGACCCAATATGTGATAAAAATACACAGGAGAAAATTTTATCAATTACAGCCTATTAGAAAAAGAAAAGAATTTTTACTTCCACCCAGCGATCCGGTGTTTGATTACGTTCTTTATCAAACAAACATTTTCAATGTCTCGCTAGAAATTGGCAGTTCTAGGTATTTGAATTATATTTTTTTTCTACTCAATGTTAGATAAAGACGTAAAGAATTGAGGTTGTTGACATATTTAAAAAAAAATGTCGAAATTATCAATATTAATATATAATCCATGTTTATCTTTAAGGACATTTAGAGCTGATATAAGAGCAGAGATAGTGGCCACATTAGCATGCCCGAAGAATAAGAAATCATCAAGAAAGATCAGATGAGCTATAGGGATCTTATTTTGAACAATTGTTGTATAATTCTTGTTGTCACAATTATCTTTCATAATACAAGATAATTCCTCCCTTGCTATAACAAAAAGATGGGGAGATAATGGTCATTTTTGTAGAAAATTAACAAATTTTAATCACAAAGAAAGGAACTTCAGAAATTGCAGCCACTAATCTAGTTAACAAACTTCTGGGGTAAGCAAATCTATAGAAGATAATCAAGTAAGGCTTTTGGATTAGCACTATCGAAGGCATTCTTAAGATCTATTTTAACACAAAAATCTTTAAGACTAGAGTTTCTTTCTGAATTCATTCAAAATGTATGTGCTGAAATAATATTAGCAGTTATATCTCTACCATCCATTAATGCAACTTGAATAGGATTATAATTTTAGGAAGAATGGGTCATACTCAACTTGATTAAAAAGATTGTTAAAGTAATTAACAGTTTCATAATTGCTTTCAGATTGAGCAAATAAGCACATTTTCAGAAGATAACTCCTTGATATGATTAAAATTCTGCCAGCAATTGATCTTTTAGTAAAGAAAATTCAAGTCTTCTTCACCAGCCCTTTGACAAGCCCCACTATATGAATCAGAAAAAGAAGTTACAAGCTTGTGTTGTATTTCCTTAGCTTGAGCAAAAAGATGATTTAATGGATCCTCTCTCGCTTATCAGAACTTTGAGCCTTAAAATCTGTATGCTTTTGAGTTATCTCAGAGATACTTAAAGAACTATTCCAGGTGGCATGCTTAAGTCTTTGTTTGAAAACTTTTAGTTTGTTCCATAGGACATAAATAGGATCACCCTTCACAAAGGTATCCTAGTGTTGTTGAGAACGCCCTTATAACCAGTGGATGCCATCTATACTAGTGGTTACTTGAGCATGATAGAATTATTACTATTGTAATGATTAAACATTAATCATGGTCATTTTTACCATATTTGACTGAATAACTAATGTCTCTGCAGATCAAGCCGTTGTTTTAAGAGAACATTACAAATTTTGAGGTAACATCATTACCTTGATTAAAAATCATAAATTGAATAATTTTTTTTTTAAATTTCATTCTTCTTGTAAGTTAGATTGTTGTTTGTATCATTAACAAAATTTGTGAGTAAAAATAGTCATTTCCTATACGTATCATATGTTGTATAATTGAATATTATGAAGTGTTCATACAGAGTGGATGCCTATGAGCCTCAAAAAGTAAATTAATGAGAGGAAGATTGATGTGGACTAGAGAAACAAATAAGGTGATGAGATAGAGCTAATAGGGCCAAGGGGTAAATTAAAGGGAAAAATCTGCATCTGAGAAGAAGAAAGCACACAAAAAAATTCAAAACTAATGGAGGAGAGGAGGACAGGTGTTGGAAGGAAGAGGCCAGAAATGAAGATGATGAGAATGCCCAAACCTGGATAGGTGAAGCAGTTGTCAATAATCTATGTCGAAATAAAAATGAGAAATTAGGGCATGACTGGGAATTCCATGACTGGAGGGTTATTACAATGACCAGTGGCGGAGCCTTCATTTTTTTTTTTGCGGGCTTAAATTTATTTTGATAAATTTTCGCTTCAATTTTTTTCATTCGGGCTTAGGACCAGCATAGATAGTTTTAAGTTTTTTTTTTCTATTTATTATTTAAATAGTTAAAATATTAAATATAAGATGATTAAAAAGTTATAATTTATAATGCCTATTTTTCATATTTGAAAAGAGTTGAATGACTGCTTCATTATCAATTCAATATAATTTTTTTTTTCAAGCAATTAATATATCATTCAACCATTGATCTTTAATTCTATTTCACAACTGATTTTTTATAATATTCATGGTAAAAAATGCTCTTTAAAATGTTGTTGTTCCAACAAGTAATACTAATGCTAATTTCAATAGTCTAAAAGTAAAAGGATATAAAATATGTTTCCTACTTTAAATCATTTTCTCATCAAAGCTTCTTATATCTTATAATGAAGAAAATGGTTCATCAAAGCATATATCCATAATATAAATGTCCAACTAATTTTCAAGAATCGTGTGATCAATCGGAGGAAAATCAGTTGAATAAAACTATGTCATTCTTATCAACTTGTCTTTATTGAATGCATAAACGACATTATTAGATTGAAACAGGCAATAGACAAAAGTAACTCAGTATTTGCTTTTGTATTATTTACTAATTTCAATAATGCATATCCCTCGCCTCTTTGTTCTAAAGGTTACACCATCTCCAAAATAATTTCTAGAATATCAATTACTAAAGAAAACATTGTAATCAACCTTATAATTAATTTATAATGCGAATTCCATCGTTTATCGTCTGCACGCCTAAGAGTTATTTTTTGATTCAACCTTTGTCTATGTTATTAGCCATGCAATATGTAATTTATTTAATATTTTCTCTCATTGTAAATCTCGAAGTTGGCCACGATGCTTACATGAAACGTCAATAATATTCATCACTTTGAAAATAATAGTAAATAATAAAGCAATTTGAACATGGCTTTTCGCTATTGATACCAA